GGGAACAACATGGTATTCACGTACCAGTTGTTGCCTGACCAAGCAAACTTGTATTTCTGTGGCTATATCGAAAATTGACATTTTCTTGGAACAAACATATGTCAAAATTTCCAGGAAAAGTCACTCTCTCCTGATGGCTCTGGCAGCACGGGACAGGTATTGGGAAAGGCTCATTAAGTGTCCTGTTCTCAGAGGAATAGTCACACACATAAGAACAGAAAAATCTGGGGGTTTTGATGAAACCTTTGCTCTGCTGAAGGAAATAGAAAATGTTCTTTTGATTTCAGTGGAGTCAGGATAACTCGCCTTTCATGGTTTCCTAGAGATCAGCTTGTCACCATTTTTTTTATCATTAAATATTACAAAGTTATATACAATTTTCAAGCCAAATATCACACTTTCACATGGAAACACTAGGCGATAAAAGATATAAACGGGTTTTAATCTATTAAAACACACTGAGACCCAAATCTTGGCCCCATTCAAGCTTATCTTGGGATGCCAGTGGAACTAAGACCAAACTGTAAAGATTAAAAAGAAATAAATCAAGATTTTTCCCTTACAGTTTAATTAAAATAATTTTAAATATAATTTTTATATTTTTAGATGCATTTTATATAAATGCATTTTTACAAATACCTAAAAAGAATAGCTTAATTAAAAAAAAAATAAATGCTCATATTGGGTTAGAAATATTATATGAACTGTACCTGTTATCGCTCAGATTTAACACTCTCAGCTTCTGCATCTGACCAATTTCATCAGGAAGAAATTCCAGCTTATTAGAGCGCAGAGACATCACTGTTACATTTTTACAGCTTCCAATCTAGAGGAATGAAGAAAAAAAACCAAAGATGTTACCATACCTACTTGGATAAAATTCACCACCACTAACTTCTTCTGTCAGGAGGTGGCCAAATTGTGTTTTTACTGTAACTGGCAAAACCCAGAAAATAAAGAATTTAAAGTAAAAATAAATAAATCATGTCCTCCCTTTGTCAGTAACATCAGGGTCACCTGCACCACTCTTCCCAGTGACACTCTCACCTTCCCAGGAATCTACTAATTTACTGGTTTGACTATTTCATGGTTGGGTCTGTTAGAAAGATTTAGTCTTCCCACATCGTGCCAAAACGATTGGTTTGACAGATATTTTGGCTGAGCAGGGATGAAATCTCGGGCCTACCACCAAACATTTCAAATCTGTAATTTCAAACCAGAATCAGGTTCTCACTTCTCTGGGTAGCTCAGGAAGGAAGTTCTCATCCACAGCCAAAGTCCTCAGGTTATGAAGGTAGCCGATGGTGGAAGGTAAGGACTCCAACTCATTGCAGCTGCAGTCAAATTCTTCTAATAAAGACAAACTGAAATTGTAAATATGCTTGTTAGATGCTATATGAGGACGAGATAACAAAAATTAACCATCTAAAACCTTTGAGAGTTTGAAGCATCACACTACTACAGACATCATGCCCTGAAGAAGGAACCTTCATTGCAGATCTCCCTCGAAGTCTGGACTAACATGATCTGAGGAACTATTAGGGACACAGTTAATCAATCTTATCCAGTAAGGCAGTTTAAGAAAGACCACTTAGCTTTGCTTCTCCACATTATCATTCTTATTTTTTTGTGGTGAAGAAGTATCCCAAGTACTTCAAACAGACAGTGATCAGGGCAATTCATACTCAGCTGAAGAATCAAACCCAAAAATTTATAATCTCAACATACAAAGACAGACAACAGGTACAGAAATACTGCTGGTGAGAGCCAAGGGAAGGGAAGCAGGAATTCCCTCCAGGATTCATTCCAACTGAGGCACTTGGCATCAATTCCAACACAGATCAGCAGTGGGAAAAAAAAAAAAGATGAACTTGGATCCAAACTCAGCAAAGTAATCTCAGCCTGTTGTGGTCAGACACAGCTTTTGTAGAAGTGCTTATCTTTCACACGTTGAGAGAGCTGGCTAAAAAAGTGACCTTGAAAGAAATCTGTATGGCAAGGACTGAGACAAAGGAGACCAAAGTACGTGATCTTCTGACACTCGAGTTCTCTCTTAAAAAAAAAAGAGATAATCTCCATTTCTATCTTGTATTCCTCTCCCTAGATTGTTGTATTCTATCAAACTGTGACAAGAAAGAGACCTGACCTTTCCTCCACGTAATCATGTTCTCAGGATAGAGGATGAAATAGAGACACCTGATGGAAACTCCCCTGAGGAACTGAAGTCCAGGTCAGCCAAAGCCCAGAGCAGTACAGAGAAAGCACAGCTCCCTCCTGCTCAGAGCTGGCTTCCAGTATATTCAGAGAAACCCAGACTGGTTTGGGTTGGAAGGGACCTTACAGCTCATCCAGTCCCAACCCCCCTGCCAGCAGCAGGGACACCTTCCACTAGACCAGGTTGCTCAAAGCCTCATCCAACCTGGCCTTCAACACTTCCAGGGAGGAGCAGCCACAGCTTCTCTGCCCAACCTGGGACACTGTCTCACCACCCTCACACCAAAGAATTTCTTCCTTCTATATATCTATATATAGATAGATAAATATCTAAATATATATATAGAGAGAGAGAGAAAGAGAGAGAGATTACATATATATGCACATACACACACACACATACATATATATATATATTCTGAAGAAATATCTACTGAATCTCTTAAAAAACCAGGCTGGATACACCAATTCTTGACAGGAACGCTGTACTGTGCTGCTCATTCAACTCATGGAACATAACTTTTATGACCCATTACAAATGCCATCGTTCCCCACTTCTGCTGCCCCTTTTTTTTGCTCCACACATACTACCTTTTTCTCTCAAGTGTTTTAATTAATTCTAAGGTTAAATGGCAAGCAATTATTTTCCTCCTCAGTGTTTCTCAGGTCCTTGTCCACTGATGAAAAGATGAGGTGACCAGAAGATTGTCTGGGGTTTTTTTTCCCCGAATGTTTTGGCAGATCTGATGAAAAGTTTACCTCTCCTCCAGCCCTTGCTCCTGAGTATTTCTATGAGCCACAGCTGCAGGACTGGACCTTCACTGTATGTCTAACTTACCTTTATTCCAGTTTCTTAATTTAAAAGAAAAAAAGGTCTTTCAGCCTTCAAATTTTATGAAACATGAAACCAGAAATAGCTGTTCCTCACATGGGATTCTCAGAACTTTCCTCTAATTGCTGTATTTCAGTAGACTGAAAAGCCAAAGTGAGTCACACAGCGATTAGTGAGAGAGATGCATGGAATATATCCAACAAGCTCTGCCAGCTTTGGTTCTAGCTTTTCTTTAATACAAGCTTTGTATCCACCACAATTGATTTCAAAGTAGATACCAAACGATTTCAGTGAAGGCAAAATTCAGTCGTGTTTACCCACTTCCTACAGAACATGCGCTTGACGGAGCAAAGTCCAACTGGAACGCTTGTTAAACTGCAAGATGCACACATTCTTCCTTTTACTGATGATAACACAACCAGAAAAGCTTGAAAACAGAGAAGCTAATTGAGAACTACTACATACCAATGGCAATCAGAACATCTGATGCTCTAGCTGTGTGTGGAACCTGCCCTGACACTGAAGAATTACTTTATCAAACAACAGAATTGTATTTGAAAGGTATTGTCTGGCACAGACATCCTCAGCTTCTTTCCTTCCTGATGACAACATCAGCAGAGAAATAAAGACAGCCACGATAAAAACCACGTCAGTCTGAAATTGTGTTTTATCTCTATAACTACCAGGGTTAAAAAAATATACACCTCAGAAAGTGATTTTTTTTCATTCATCATCAATTGTGCATGAAAGGAAGTTGACAATAACAGCTATAATCCCAACTATTAGCTACAATATCATTAACCTCATGGTCTTCTTGGGCTAAAGGCAGCTCATTCCTGAGAGGTTTAAAGAAAGGCAGACAAACAGAAATCAGCTGTGCACCTGCCGTTCCCTTCGGCACCCATGGAAATGAGGCAATTCACAGGCCATGTCCTGAGGTAGATGAGGAGCATTTTTAGACAGAGGGAGATCCATGGAGAATGGACTGTCAGGAATCAGTGAGTAGTTCCAGCCCATCTCAACCCCATCTCATACAGTCACAGCTCTTCACTCCCAATAGCCACAGCACCCAGCAAACTGCCAAAGCAGCCTAAATCCCAAGAGTTGGGTCTTTGTCCAACACCGGGCACAAGGAATTCTGCAGACACAATACAAGCTTGCATTTTCCTTTGCAGCATCTGGTACTGTCAGATGGTATAGAATCACAGAATCACAGGATCCCAGGATGGTGGGGTTGGAAGGGACCTCAGGAGATCATCCAGTCCAACCCCCCTGCCAAAGCAGGTTCCCT